TGTTACTGAGGGTGGGCTTTGAGGTTTCAAACCAGGCCCATTGTCGCTGTCTCTTCCTGCTGCCTACTGCCCCAGATGTAGAAATCTCAGCTTTGTCCAGCACCACGTCTGCCTCTGTGCCACCATACTTCTTCCTACAATGATGATAATGGACTAATCTTTGGAATCTGCAACCTAGCCCTAATTAAATGTTTTCCTTTGTAAGAGTTGCCATAGTCATAGTGTCTCACAGCAGTTAAACCCTAAGACACCTCCATAGCACCCTTTTGCACTATTGAAAGCTTGCCACCAGGGAAGAAGTTTTCAGGGCAGTTCTAGCTTGATGTCTACATGTCTTGCAACCAAAGGGTGTCCTGTCTTTGGCAGTAGGGTCTCACCATCTAGTAATAGTGGGTAATCAATCAAGAGCAATGGCAATATCTTTGTTGGTTTATGGGCCTGTGGGACCTCTATGACCAGTAACTAGTCAAGAAGTATCCTGTATATGGCACTGAAATTTCATTTAATATCCCATGTCTTTTGGGGGAATCATTGTCCACCCATGCAGGGTACCAGTGGTACAATAAAGTCTTTGTTGACGTGTTTCCACCAATTGATTAGAGTGCTTTTTTCCAACAGGGTTTGGTCTCTGCTACAATTTTCACCCCTTGAATGTCAACTCTGCCGTATTTTTATGTGCTTTAAGATTTGCTAGATTTTGGCACTGAGGAGAACTTAGTGGAATTTGCATAACTCAGAAAGTATGAGTATTATGTAAGGTAAAGCGTTTTATTATGTGACATCCTAATTGTAAATTTTAGGTAGATTTAATGCATATTATCCATATGTGACAGATGCTAAGCTAAGCCTATCCATATGATTAGCTACATAGTTATTTCTAGTTCAACTGATGATGACCTCTAACAAGAAGGAAGAGTACATTTTCTTGGTATAGATCCTTTGACATTCTCAGTTCTCTGTCTGGACACTTGGAAGTGATTTCATCAGCATAGTACATACTACCTGAGGTGTTTGTTTTCCATACACATTGGCTTATTCATTCTTATATCTGAGGAATTTAAAAAATACAAGAGACAGAAGTGTTTTGTTATCCATTCATATTTCCTACGAATGCAGTTGTGATGTTTTGATATGTTGTAGATAAAAAAGAGCCACATGCATCATGTAACTTAATACCCTTATTTTATACCAGAGAGCTGCAACTTAAAGTTAGATAATATAAGACAGATTCCAGTTATTTTTCTACTACACTGTACTGCTATTACTGTTATACCTTTTAAATGATTTCATAGAACAAAATGTAGCTTTTAGTTTTTGAGACCTAATTTATTTATCATAACCACTTTGTGTAAGTTTTTAGTAGGTCTTGGTATCAATTGATATGCACATGTTGGTAAATCAAAAGGAAATTAGAAATTTGTGTTTTTCTTATTTTGAAAAACCTTCCCCCCTTTTATTGAGGTTATTACCTGTGGTGCTTTAAATGAGGATGGCACCCCCATAGGCTCATATAATTTAATATTTGGTCCCTAGTTGGTTGAACTAGTCAAGAAGGATTAGAAGGCGTGGCTTCTGTGTTGGAGGAGATATGTCGCTAGGAGTAGGCTGTGAAGTTTTAAGGCCCATGTCATTCCCAGCTAGAGCTTTTTCTGCTCTGTGGTTGCTGTCTCAGCATGTAAGCTATCAGCTACTGCTCCAGTGCCCTGACTACCTGCCTGCCACTGTACTCTCTGCCGTAATTGTCATAGACTGGCCCTCTGAACTGTAAGCTCCCAATAAACTTTTTCTTCTGTAAGGTGCCATGGTCATAATATCTTCACAGCAACAGAGAAATAACCGAGACAGAAGTTGGTACCAAGAAGTGGGCTATTACTCTGACAGGCCTGGCCATATTGTTGGAAGGCCTGTGGAAGACTTGGGGACCTTGAACCAGGAAAATGATGGAATGCTGTAAGGTGAGGTCCCATGGGCCATCCTAGTAGGAGTTTTGAAGACTGGTGCTGAGAGCACTGTGGACTATGGAGGCGGCTCAGGAGGTTTCAGAGGAAACAATATTAACAACTGAGGTAGAGAACATTCTTAGGATAGTTTAGCCAAGAATGTGGCTGCTGCTTTTTCCATTGGTCCTAAGAATGCCCCTAATTTAAAGGCTTTTGGACTAATTTTATTGCTAGAAGAGATCCCAAGACAGCCTAATATTGACTCTGTCACTTGGAAGTTGTAGTTTGGAAGTATGTATGTTGGAAGTATGTAGTTTGCTTTTTCCTTTTATAGGGGGTTACCACTACAAGATTATCTTAGTCTCAGAAGAGACTGGACTTTTAAACTGTGCTGAGACTGAAGGACTGGGGAGTTTTGAAGTTGAACAAAATGCATTTTGATATGGCCATAAGCCTCTGGAGGTTAGGGAATGGAATGTGGTAGTTTGAATGAGACGGGCCTCTATGGCTCATCATGTGTTTAAATACTTGGTCCCCAGTTGGTGGAACTGTTTGGGAAGGATGTGGTCTGCTTGTAGGAGGAGGCACATTTCACTGGGGGCTGGCTTTGATTTTTCAAAGTCCATGCCATTCCCAGTTAGCTTGTGTGCTCGCTCGCTCGCTCCCTCCCTCCCTCCCTTCCCCCTCCCTCCCCCTCTACCTTGTGGTTGTGTCAAGATGAGCATTCTCACCTACTGCCCCAGCACCATCCATGCTTACCTGCCTGCTCCCATGCTCCCTGCCATGATAGTAATGGACTTAACTACTGAAACCATAACCCCCCAATAAACTCTTTGTTTATAAATTGCCTTGGTCATGGTGTATTTACAGCAATAGAAAATTAACTAAGACATTACCTTTCCCCTGCCCCTCTGAAACAGGGTCTTGCTAAGAAAGCCAAACTGGCCTTAAAAGCTCTGATCTTCACATCTAGCCTCTCTAGGGTGCCAGGATTGTAGAAGTGTATCACACAGCCTAAGATCATTTCTGCTGTGTATATTCCTTTTTATCTTTTTTTAGTGCCAGTGATTTTTCCTTAAAGACATTTTTAACATGATTGATGACTTGAAAGAATTTCCAAAATTAGATTTTATTATATGGTAAACCAATGGCAGCCATTAAGTTTTAAGTTTTTTATTGAAAACATGAGAGATGATTTTATCCTCCTGGAGTGAATAGAGAAATAAATAAGTGGATAGTGCTGGATTTATGAGAGCAATGATTCTGTTTTTCACTATTGTGCTCCAGTATGTGTCTGGTAACCAGTAGATACTCAAATAGCCATTCAGATCATATCAGTGAATTGAATTCATTTTTTTCTGAATGGTTAACTGGTAAAGGAATATGCATATGCTTGTGTGTGTGTGTGTGTGTGTGTGTGTGTGTGTGTGTGTGTGTATGTGTGTGTATGTATGTGTATAGTGTGATTAAACCTGTGGCTTTAGGCATGCTAGGCACCTACCACTAAGCCATACCTGCTGCCTCAGAAATTACCATGAGGTTTTGATTTGTAATGGACCTAATAAGTGGATAACTAAAGAAAGATACTTTTAAGCAAGTGAACTGTGTGAATTTTTTTTAACATTTATACTGTTTAATTTTTAAATCATTGCTTCATATTTAAAAGAATATATGAAAACTCAGGAAGCTTAAAAGATTATTAAGCATGTTCTGTTACTTTGACTTATTAATTTAAAGACATTCTTATCTTAATGAACTTACTGAGGTTCTATATGGAAACTGCTTCAGCTTTCATAGTCCAGTCGGTGAGGTTCCTCTTAAGTAACCCATTTTAATGCCAGTATCAGGGGAGGAAAACATCAGGTGAATCTTAGATTTGCTTTTCTAATGTCAGCTTACTACTGTCCAGACATCTCACCTCCACCTGAGATTCCAGATAGTCACTGTTCACCTGAACTAGGGCAGTAGGGTACTAGGCAACTCGAGAACAAGAGCTCTTCTGTGACTGCGTTTGAGTTCCTTCTGGCTGCTCTATTTTGGATCACTATATTGTTTTTCTGTGGACTCACCTAATGACTGAAGGACATATTTTATGGAGTCAAATTGTGCATTTTTTTTCAGGAGTTTGTTACTTTAAGCAGAACACTTTTTCTAATTTTTCTTTATATAGATAAAGAGCTTTCATAATCAGTGAAATTTCAACAGGAAGATATGTGGGTAATTTTACAGGTTTGCAGTTCACTTTTAGAAAAGTACAGGTGTAAAATTAAGTTTAAGTTTAATACTTAGGTAGAAAATAAAATACTTATTAAATCAGCTGCATAGTTTCCCAAAGAACATAGTTTTATTTTCTTTTGAATCATTTCAGCAATAAAATTTGTATGATGGTACATGGTAGGCTACTTTAATGGTATAAAGATTGTAGCTAGCTATTCATTATTTAGTTAACTGGGACCAATTTTACCTCAATGTAAAAGTCTAATGGGTGATTATAATATAAGTATTATATGTATGTATAAAAATGAATAATTTACAGGATACTTGGAGGTTACATAACTAGATGATCTCTTTTTTATTGATTAATTAACTTTTTCCCAGTCTGATCACAGTATAACTAGATGATCTTAACTTTGGGAATTTATATTTTGTGTTATCTGTTGATAATAAAACAGGATTCCTTTGTTTCTAGGCTCCCAGATAAGCTCAGGATGATTAACTACTCGTAAGTGATAGTTCTTCATGCCTTAGAGCTGTTATTAAGTTAGATCTGATTCTGAATTCTTTGTCTTTACAGTAGACATAAGTAAAAGAAAACTATGTTTCCAACAATATCAATTTGATTATCCTTGGATTATCATTGTTTTGTGTGTACTGTTGTATTTTCAGGTCACTGATAACTCTAAGCCTTAGGCCATTTTATTGATGATTTTCCTCATTTTGAAGTGTAACTTTTAAATAAGAGCTCCCAACTCACCTCTAAGACCTAAGAGAAAACATTAAAAGTTAAAATTTTGCAGTTTGAGTTGTGAAAGATTTTAATTGGATTATTTTATGTTTTAGAAAATGGAGGTGTTGTCCAAGTTGGAGAACTGTTGCCCTGCAAGATTTGTGGAAGAACATTCTTTCCATTGGCACTGGTGAGTAGGCAGAGTCTAGCCTGTGTGCATTGGAACCTAGTAGATGTGTGATCGTTTCGTGCTTGAGGACAGTTGTGCAAAAGTTATGGAGGACTCACAGGATAATCTTTGAAGATTAGTTTCCTCTGAAAATGGCTGAACTTCTGAGCTCTGCTTTTATACACTAAATCTTCCAGCTTTGTAGGAATAGTAGGAATATTATGAGATAGAAACACAAAACACAAATTTAAGAGGCAAAACTCCTCATGAATGTAAATGAGACTATATTAACAAAAATGTTATAATCTCTAGAATTTGCTTTAAAAGTACTGCATGAGCAGGATTATTTGCTAAAATGTGAGGAATTGTTGAGCAGTATAATGAATAAATACTGTCACTCTTTCTGTTTTCTTCCTGTGTTTGAAATCATCCAAAGCAAAGGTTTTGTTGTTTTAACAATATAAAAATTCAGCTAAAAATGTGTAAATTTCATCTGCTTATCATATAAAGATTGAATAGAAACATGTTTAATTAATATTGATAAAATTACTCAGGTATGTGTAGAATAATAATTATGCCTTTATATCTTCTTTAATCTCAAATAAAATGTGCAGTTACTAGTAATTTAATATTTATGTTTTTAAAGTATCAGTCTGCTAATTGGAGTTCTGGCACAGTCTACTGTGGATCTTGCAGGCTACTTCTCTTAAGGATAGGAAGGAATTAATGCTTGAAAATGTTCCGATTACAGATACCTTCTAAATAATGATGACTTTTTTGTAATCATTTAGAAATACTGTCAATACATTCAGCAATTTCTTCACAGAGTATTTTTAAAATATGCCACTTAGTTTCTACAGAAGAAAACAAAAATCATATACCTCCTGATTTAAATATTTAATTAAATGATGTCAAAGTTTAAAACAGCTGCAGTTTGTATAATAAAATTTCTAAGTATGGCACCACATACCCTTGACATATACTGCTAACTTTCCAAGAACAGACAAATGTGAAACTACTAGAAAGTTGCCTACTAGCATTATTTTTATGATTTATGAGTAGAGTCAAAAGCAGTGGTCAGCACCTCTAACCCTAACACATGGAAATCCAGGGAAGGAAGATAGATGCAAGTTTTTAAGGCCAGCCTGAGCTATACTGTAAAACCCTGTGTCAAGAGAGAAAGAAAAAAAAAAGATATTTTAAAAATACATTCTAGGTGATGAAGAGATGATTCAACAATTAAGAGCACTTGTTGCCCTTGCAAAGGACCCAGGTCCTGCTTCCTGGACCCATACTGATGGTGTTTTACAACCCTCTATAACTTCATTTCCAGGGGATCCTACAACCTCCTCTGACCTCTGTAGATACCAGGCATGCATGTGGTACACATACATATTTAAACGTACATGCTCATGCACATACAAGTACATCTTCACACTTTTTATTTAAGAGCATTTGTAGTCCAGTGTTGATTGAAGTAAAGCTAAAAACAAATACAAATAGACGGTGGGTTCATGATTGGCTTCAGTACTAAATGGGCCAGTTCCTTCCTTTTTTCCCCAGACCGACATCCCAGTGCCCGTTTCCTGAGCACTTACTGAAATGGGAAAGGAACAGAGGTGCATTCAGTACACCGACATCAGTCAGCAAACTTTCTGTAGTGGAGGGAGAATTTCATTTTTCTAGAGAACTGGTTATTTGGAGATCAGCTGAGATAAGTTTAACTGTGTGTGCTTAAAATGAACAAATGAGTTAGCATTTATTAACAAAACAGTTTAGATGCAGATGATTACATACTACAAGAAAAGTCTTAGATGAAGAAAGCAAGCTTGAGTTCTAGATGGAGGAAAAAGTTTTGAATTCTAGGAGAAAAGGGATAATTGTATGGGGAAGGACACAGATCTGACCACTCTGCTCGTTATTTTGGGTTAGTGTTGTATTGATCTATTTTTATGTTACCGTATGTAATCCAACTACCAGAGGGGTAACTTTTGTAACCCCGAGACTGAATCAGTCTCCCCTTACATGGTTTTTCTCATGTTTATGTTTTGTGTTTACTGAGGACTTTTCACTGAAGTATCTTTGAATTGTTTCATTATTGCTTATTCTTAGCAACAATGAAAACTGGAATATTAAGTGACTTCTGATGAAATTTTAGGATAGTATTTCTTAGTTTCCTGAAAGGTAGGTAGAGTGTGTGTGTGTGTGTGTGTGTGTGTGTGTATATGTGTGTGTATATGTGTGTGTGTGTGTGTGTGTGTGTGTGTGTGTGTGTGTGTGTGTTTTAAAGCTTAATTAAGGAAAGATAGAACTTTTTCCCTCTGGGTTTTTTGATGTGGCGTGTAAGCTGGACTGAATTTTTAGTTTTGTGGTCTTCCCTTCTGTAGAAAAGAAAACATTATGCTGCATTTCTTCATTTTAACAGAAAAAGCATGGACCCATTTGCCAGAAAACTGCCACTAAAAAAAGGAAGACTTTCGATTCCAGCAGGCAGAGAGCTGAAGGCACTGATATTCCCACAGTCAAACCTCTTAAACCCAGGGTAACTATAAGCTTCGGAACACTATAAATCTTGTTACTACACTTACTGAAAAAATCAAATGAGTAATGAATGTTATTCTGGGTAGAGTAAACAAAATTCCATATTATGTGTTTAGAATAAATATCAGAAACCTAAATCTTATTTTAATGAAAAACAGATGAATGAATAAAAATGTCATTGATAGGAAGTGTAAAACTATATGGAAATCTCTGTGAGTTCGAGGCCAGTCTGGTCTACAGAGTGAGGTCCAGGACAGGCACCAAAACTAACAGAGAGAAACCCTGTCTCGAAAAAAAACAAAATAAAGAACTGCCTAAAGCAATTGAAATCCAGTCTAAATTACCCCAAAAAGAATATGTAGGAAGTTTATGAGATTCTGAGGCTAAGGATCTGACACCATATATATGAGGAGGTCTTTTCATCTTAAAGGTAATTTCTCTAAGGTGAGTTCTTTAAGGATGTATAACTTTATTAATAACTATACCATATTAGACACAAGATAAATTATGCAAACTTGTATTGGTGGGATCTGGAATGGGCAGGGCTAAAGATGAACAGAAGCCATAAAGGAGAAAGTGGGGTGATGGGGAATAGAATGGAGCAGGCCCTGGGCTAGAGGTTTTTAGAACCATTCCTGAAGGTAAGAGGCCCAATTAGAAAGTGGGTGTCTTTCCAAAAGTGGTTACTTGAACAGGGAGGGGGAATCACAGCAATGGCTTTCTATTCTCCATAGACATGTAAGAGGCAAGTACCTGCAGTCACACAGAGCCTTATTCACAGTAGCGTGTTCCTCCCCAAGAAGGGAGTTGTTTCCTCTAGCCTAGCAGTTTCCTTGTGCTTTTCTTCCCTCAAATCTCTTCCAAGTAGCTGCACCAGTACTGCAGCTCTAATTGGTGGTGTAAACCTGGAGAATGGAGCCTAAAAATGAGGTGGACTAAAGTCTCATGCAATAGGCAACTTTATTTAGGGCATTAGACAGTTTATATTCTGAGGGCATTCTGAGGGTAGAGCCAGGTCATATGAGCAAAGTTCACTTGAGTTCAAGTTGTATACAGTCACAGGGGTAAATCACATGAGTTTAGGCTGAATATAGTCAGGAGGGCAACCTGTGCTTGGAAACATCATCTGTATAATAATGGATAAGATAATGGGTGATCCAAAGTGAAACCCACTCCTGTTGTTACATCTGGGAGGGGCACGAAAACATTGGAACAACCCATGTTATGGAGGACCAAAGGTTACAAGACTCTTGTCTTCTTTACTTGGAGTTTTCTCACAAGTGCTCAGAATTCTCTTCACACAGCTTCATTCATGGACCCATTTGCCACACCAGAAAAACCAAATACATTCATTGATGAATAAATAATAAGAAGGCTGTTAGCTTCCATTGATACAAAGATCTGTCTGTACAGAAAACAAGTGGAAAAGACCAGTACACCTTGCCATTAGATGACTGATACTGCGGAGCAGATAAATGTCTCCATTTAACTGTAAATAAGAAAATCTTAATGTAAGATTTTTGTGTATATATCCATGAGTGAAGTAGGTTTATAATTTTTCTTTTAACAAAGTTTTTGTTGCTCTCATAAAATCTTTTGGGAATATTGCTTTATTGTTATACTTTAAAAGAATTCAGTAGTATAGGCATATAGGCCTGGGAAATTTTTGGTGGGAAAATTTTTAAATAGTAAATTTACTTTTTAAAAACAGATACAAGTTTTGTGATGTTTTGCTGGTTGCTATTTTGTTTTGTAAAGATACTTTCCATTTTATGTTAATTATCAAATTTTTTGTCAAAGGTTTTCTTTTTATATTGTTTCATGTAAGAACGATGCATCGTTTGGTATTTTTAATTTATAGGTGAATTTGAGAACTTCATACGTCAGTACTGTGTACACAATACTCCTGGCTCCCTTCCTTCCCAGCAGTTCCTCCCAAATTCATGATGTCTTCTTTAATTGTTATATGCATACTACATGCACACACATGTGTATGTTCAACTTACTGAGTCCATTTAACATTGCTCAGATGTACATGTGTCCAGGGTTGACTTCTTGGGATTAGACAACCTATACAGGAGCTCATCCCAGGAGAAAATGGATTCTTCCTTTCCCAGTAGCCACAAACTATCTGTAGCTCTTAACTTGGGGCTTTTCCCATCTACTTTGATATGTCAGCTGGTATCGTCACTGTGCTAGTCTTCTTCAGGCAAGCATATCGTTTAGTTTTTATGGATGCAGCTCTCCTGTCGTGTCTAGTGGGCACTGTCTTGCAGCAGGTATCTTGTTCCTCTGACTCTTAAAATCTTTCTGTCTCCTCTCTGTGATTACCTGAGGCTTGGGGATAGTGGGTTGCCTAATGGCTATATCAGTTGGGCTTGGTTACCACAGTCACCTGTTGTCTGCAGTTGGGGATCTCTGTACGAGTCTCCATCTGCTATAAAAAGATGCTCCATGGATGAAGTGTGAGAACTACACATTTCAGTCTAGGCCTGTACATATGCTGCATGACCAGAGCTAGGCCTGGGAGTTGGGGTTTTAATTCTTATTCTTTAGTTTTGCGTTTATATTTTAAAATAACTGTCTTTTGACTTTGATTGAATGCATTTTCCTGATTTTAAAAATAAAGACATTAAGAATAGTTGGATTAATGTAAGCTAACATCATAGTTAGTGGATAGATTGCAGGAGTGGTAGACGCAGCTAGTCAGGAGCTGGTTCATTTGCATCCAATATTTGAGATGCCAGCTGATACACTTCAAGAAACACAATGAACCTGTGTGCATATTGGCAATTATAGCATACTGGAAAATAAGGGAATCAACTGAGAAATTACTATGGACAGTTAGACAGTAAAGTAAAAATGGAAAATGTACAAGAATACTAGGTTTGATATACTTAATAGTCTCTTAAGTCATGATGAATCTTGTATAGAAGAGCAGAAGAGCAACACAAGGTGTAAGATTATTTAGAAATACATTTTACAATAAAGAGGAAGCATTCTATGAAAAATACTTGAAATACTAAAAGATGCAAATGAATACTTGTTCAATCGAGATAACATATAAAATGTACTTACATAGGTCAATTCAGCATAATAAAGATTAGGTTCCCTAGATTACTTATGAATGAAATGTTACATTTTTCTAGTTAAACTAATAGTTTTTATTTTTAATGACAAGCCAATTATAAAGATGATACACAAATTGCACATATAAGAATAAGGAAAAGATTGGGAAATGGCCATGTGTAGTGGGTAGCCATTCCAGCTTTGATCTGGAAGTTCCAACCCCCATTGAGACTTCGGCAACTGTCACGCCTATAAGGCGGGGCCAAGGGAGGCGCCTGGAGACCCGAGATGGGGATCAGCAGGCGCGCTCTCTGTGGCGGGACCCTGGATAGTGGAGGTGGACCGAGCAGAGCTCCAGAGAGCACCGCTGGACTGTGATACACCTTCCCCAGACTCTGCGACCTACCTATCCCTTAATTTGTAAGTTACGCCATTAAATAAATCTCCTTTTAACTACGTAATGCCATAAGGTTTTAGTGTTTAAAATCTTAGTTCTCAAACAAGGATCATCAAAGCAGTGGCATGAACAGGAATATTCAGGTATAAATCTACATTCATGTGTTTAGTTGATGGTGAATGTTTTATTTCAGTATTGGGGTAGGGTAGAGTAGGGAGTCGAAGGGTACAGAAACTACAGCATGACTTTTTTTTAAAATAATTAGTTGAACTCTTTATGTCACAGTATATACCAGAATGAATAAAATACACAATGACTAATAATTAAAGAAACAAAGCAAAACACACACACACACACACACACACACACACACACACACACACACACACACACACAACGGAAAATAGTGAATTGACTAACACTTTTCAAATAATTATGCATATCAGAGGACCTATAGGTCCACAGGAATTGGAGAGAAAAAGAATAATTTCTTCTCTACCTAGGGAAAATTATTCCAGAATGCCTAAAAGCCAGGGAAAGAAGTTGACTAGGAATATGATCCATTTGCAGGATAAATACAGAGACTCAGTGAAATGATGACAGCATCTCACTCATAAAAGAAAATCCAATGACATCCACAGTGTGGACTGTTGCCTTCCTCTAAAGCTGGTTTAAAACCTGTAGTTTCGGTCAGTTTTCCTGTAGAGAGGCTGAGAAAGGAGAAAGTCAGAGTAGGAGCACAAATACAGCTGCATACCTGCAGAGGACTTTAACAGTATCTGCCTCAAGGAGAATTGTATTTCACAGCTTCACAGTGTGATTGCAGATTTTTAATTTGGGAAAGATCACTGATGGATTCCTGCTAAGAGAACATTTAACGTAATATGGCTTTAACCGAACTTTTATTTCACTCTATTAAAAAGTAGATTTTGATGTTGGTTTTTCCTTATTTTTAGCCAGAACCACCAAAGAAGCCATCTAATTGGAGAAGAAAGCATGAAGAATTCATTGCCACCATAAGAGCAGCAAAAGGCCTTGATCAGGCACTTAAAGAGGGGGGCAAACTTCCTCCTCCTCCTCCACCTTCCTATGACCCTGGTATGTGGAGGAGTGGTGACAGAAAAGTTCATGTGGGCAGAGAACTACAGAATTTATTTTTTCAGTTGGTGTAAAATAATTTTTATGCTGAAACCCAAAGACACATAATCTTTAAATACTTTGATGTCAAATAATAGTGATAATTCAAGCATCTAGATATAAAGATATATCCTTATAGAACAATAAAAACACACTGCTTTTTATCACAATGCTTTTATTTAAACGTAAGTTTTATGTCTTTTTTTTTTTTTTTTTTGGTTTTTTTGAGACAGGATTTCTCTGTGTATCTTTGCGCCTTTCCTGGAACTTACTTGGTAGTCCAGGCTAGCCTCGAACTCACAGAGATCCGCCTGGCTCTGCCTCCCGAGTGCTGGGATTAAAGTCATATGCCACCACTGCCCGGCTAAGCTTTATGTCTTAAAAATTATAAATATAAAATATTAATAATATAGAAAAATCAATCATGCTCATTACACATTCATCAGTATTCATATAGTTATGTTGCTTGGTTCTTTGGTACCTTGCATGAAAAGAAAGTTATATTTCTAAAATCTATAATCCAGAACCTGTGGTATAGAATAATTACCTAAATTATGTTTCAGAAAAATATATTGTTACAGTTTCCACTGGGAAAACCAAAGCTAATTATTATCAAGGTAAAACAATTGTAATAAATACGTATGAGATATTGAGGTAGATTTAAAGTAGTAGAATTTACATTTTGCTGTTGGATATTAGAGCATCGTCAACAGGCTGTTACTTTAATGTAAACAGCCACATTAAAATTGAATTGGTGAGATGGGCGGTGGTGGCGTACGCCTTTAATCTCAGCACTTGGGAGGCAGAGCCAGGTGGATCTCTGTGAGTTCGAGGTCAGCCTGGGCTAACAAGTGAGTCCCAGGAAAGGCGCAGAGCTACACAGAGAAACCCTGTCTCGAAAAAACCAAAATTGAATTGGTGATGTAGATTGGAGTTTACTCCTAGTAAAGAGAATGTTTAGCAGACCTGGATATGATTAAACGTTTTATTCTAGAGGAGACATTTGCCAGCCATTTCAGTAAAAGACCGAGTTGTAATTAGGTATTTAATATCGCTAAGGCTACTGATATAACTACTTAGCTTTTTCTTGTTATAAGCCATGAATAATACGTAAATGAATGGGTAGATTATATTAAAAAAAACAACAACTTTATTTTCTAAAACGGGTAATAGGCAGACTGGATTACACTTATAGGCTATAATTTGCCAGCTTCTGAAGTATTAATGTTTCTGTGCATTTCTGGATAATCACACTGGGCTACCTAGGACCCTTCTTCGTTTACATTTATGTTCTATGAAGTTGAGCACCCTGCTTTAGAGACATTTCCATACTACACCTTATCTTCTAAGGCTTTTCATATCCATGTAAGTAATAAAGGAGTGCCAGTCTGTCAGGATAATCTGGACTGTAGGAATTCTTTCAGTGTTTAAAATTGCCATACAGATTGTTGCTAAATATTTTAGACTGTTCCACTAATAAGCAGAAAAATTTTCTGAAATTTGAATTGTGTCATTGAAGGTTTGATTTTTAAATTATTTCTTCCATTTCTTGGGACCACTTTTTAGAAAATAAGTTTCTTGGCAGTCTGCTTACCTATTCCTTGATTTTTTTTAAAAAAGATTTTTTAGTTTAATCTGTATATGAATTTCTATTTTAATGTGTTTTTTACTGTTTAAGTGCCATATAAAGTTTATGTCCATAATGAAAGCAAGTATTTTTCTTTTACTGTTTCTTTTCTACTGACAGTTTTATTTTTTATTCTTTCTTCAAATTGATTGTTGGACTTTTTTTGTTTTGTTTTGTTTTGTTTTTCGAGACAGGGTTTCTCTGTGTAGCTTTGCGCCTTTCCTGGATCTCGCTCTGTAGACCAGGCTGGCCTCGAACTCACAAAGATTCGCCTGCCTCTGCCTCCCAAGTGCTGGGATTAAAGGCATGCGCCACCACCGCCCGGCTGATTTTTGGACTTTTTAAAAAAATATCTTTACTAAGTTTAGGTCAGCCAAGTTGGATACTGTATGAGAATGGGAGCCATGCTTTTAAGATGCCATTGTTTCTATTATTTATTCATCTTGAACTACTGATCCTAAAAGTCCTACTGTTTAGGACTTTACAGGTGTTTTGTTACTAACTGCTTTCTTCTTTGATGTGCTTTAGATTACATTCAGTGTCCATATTGCCAGAGGAGGTTCAATGAAAATGCAGCGGATAGACATATCAATTTTTGTAAAGAACAGGCAGCACGTATTAGTAATAAGGGCAAATTTTCTACTGATTCCAAAGGAAAGCCAGCTTCTCGGCCACAGGTGAAATGCACGATTTAAATTATTTCTTCCTATTAGTAAGAATGTGCCTCTTTGAGGTTCATGATTTTATGTTTATGATTTATAAAATTGAACTATAGTTTTCCCATCAGCTAAAATAGATGTGTTATTGCTAAGGGCTTTGATACAAAATTTGAATGACTACTTGAGAAAAAATAGCACAAATTAATTTATTTGAAAGATATTTCATTTAGTAGGGACTTCATTCCTTTCTCTAGTATTGCTAAATTGCATTTTATAAATCTTTTTTACTCAGTTTAAAATATATTCTAATTTTTATCTTTTTACTTACAGTTCATTTCAAGTGAATCATTTATTGGCAGATAATTATAATGTTTATAGATATATTTTGTTTATTTTTAATTCTGTTTTAGTTCAAGACTGTATTTGCCAAAGGTTTTTTTTTTTTTTTTTTTTTTTCCTGGAGCTGAGGACCGAACCCAGGGCCTTGTGCTTGCTAGGCAAGCGCTCTACCACTGAGCTAAATCCCCAACCCCCAAAGTTTTTATACTATTAAAATGTGTTCTGTTATCTCGTATGTGGTCTTATGGTATATGCTACACAGCATCTGGAATCAAGTGTTTGTTCTACAGTTGTGTGTTGAGATTTAAAAATGCCAGACTGAACTGACTGAGTCCTGTTGACATTTCTTTTGATTTTTCACACCAGTTATAGGAGATTTGTTAAACTCTTTAGCTTTGATTATAGTATTTTCTATTTCTTATGTTAGTTTTACCTCTTGTATATCACATACTTGGAAATCTTCTTAGATTTTAGTGATGTCTACAATTGTAATCCACAATATACAATTGCTTATTTATTGGTTCTTTAAAGTGTCTTTTTCCTAATGATTTTATTTTGAAGTGTATTTTACCTCATAAGAAAATTAGTTATTTCAACTTATGATTCTTAGTTTTGCTCACATTTTCTTTCTTAAATATGTGCTTTTGCCAGTCTATAGACTAGACAATTAGGTGGTGGTGTTTTTTTTTTTTTTTTTTTTTTATTGGTCTGCTACGCACCCTGGGCTGTTTGTTTGGACAGACACATGAAATACAATTCTTGTTAGTAAATTGCTTTAGGTCTGTCATGCTTCTGCCTTCACTTATTTTCATGTACATAAACACATGCACATTATTCTGCTGCTTTTAACTTTTTTGCTTTGTTTTCATTGCTTTTCTAACTCTTTGACACGGTCTGTCTGGAGACATTTCAAATGAAATCAATTGCTGTCAGTTTGGCTGACTAACTTTGATTTATACATCTGATCTGTGTGCTGGCAGGTGTTTGCTACAATCTCAGATGGGGTTGAAATGGCAGTTTCTTCTTAGCTAATCTAAAATTCAGTGCTTTAAAATGGTTTTCATATTGTAAATACTATTTGTAGTTTCTTGAGATATTTACAGTTTTGTAGAAGAGTTGGTCTACTCAAACAATTTTGTCAAAAATAAACTCGTTTTGATTTCTCTATTAGAGTACTTTATTTTATAAATGTGGACACTTACCTTAACCGTATTTAAGTATATACTCGGTATTACTAAATGTATTCAGGTTGCTGCATAACTGCCATCACCGTCTGTCTCTCTAGCCTTTTCTTGTAAAACAAAATTTCTGTCATTAGGTCTTCTGAGATGTTGAATTGCTAGTTTGCACTCCTTGATAACAAAATGACATTGATTTTTTTTAAATTTTCATTATTTTAGTATAAGCCATCTCCACTTAAAAAATCAAATTCTCCTGGAACTGCATCATCAGGATCTTCCCGACTACCACAACCAAGTACTACTAACAAAACTGTTGTAGGTAATGAGATCTGTATGGCAAACTAAATAAACAAACAAAGGAAAACCATGTTAGTTGATAAAGAAATGATGAAAGTGGCCTTATCTAGATTGTTAAAAAAAATTATAAGTAAGAAATTTAGATTAGTAATTCTTTCTGGGTAAAACTGAAATAGGGTTGAGTCGATTCTACAAGCAAGTTCTTTTCTGGATTACTTGAAAGGCCACAGTGTTTGTAGGGGCTTCTTGTACCTGAACTTGACAGCTGTTCCTATAAGACAGGTGCTCACGGCTTAAAGAAGATAACCTAAAGTGAGATGTTACTTGTGTGTCAGTGATGAGATGAAAATGAGAAGGAACATTTTCCTCAGTAGTAGTTGTAAATTATTTATAACTATAGGCACAAAGAGTGTTGATAGGGAGCTGTTTTCCTTGTTAGAGGCTTTGTTTTGTATGACTTTTCTTTCAGACTATTCTTAAAACTGTTACCTTTTTTTATTATAAGGTGTGCCTTCGGGTAAAGCATCTTCAGTTAACAGTTCTCTGGGAAACAAACTTCAGACCTTATCTCCTTCTCATAAAGCAATAGCAGCCCCTCAGGCAGGGTAAGTGTATGTTGAATGTGGTATTGGTGCTGTATGTTTAAATTATATTAGTGTTTTGTGTTTGTCCTTAATCCTTTTTCTAAGTTCATTTGTTTCTTTTAGTATATTGCTAGTAAGGAGATGTTCAGTAATGCTATTGAAAAATCTCAGTATAGCTGTTTCAGAAAAATATAGTTGGTGTTCATCAAGATCCTTAAAGTTGTGTGTGTGCGCATGTGTGTGTGTGTGTGTGTGTGTGTGTGTGTGCTTGAGTGAACAGTTGTGTTTTGGGGGCATCTAAGAAATAATGGAAAATATTAAAGGTTTAGTAATAGCTGTCATATTTTGAACACTGTATTTCAGACATTGTGCTGCACATTTTGATAGGATTTAATTTAAGTCTTCACTATCGTCATGGAGTAACTCAGAATCAGATTTGTTTAAAGCTGTGTAACTTTTAGGAAGAGCCAGGTGCTGATTGAGATCTCTTTGAGTAGAAAACAGTTAAATGTTTTTATTATAATGTATAAAAATTGCCTATTTTATAATAATGTATAAAAATCATCTAAATGTATAGTTTTGATGGAATAATATATATAGAAATATAAAGATATTTGGCAACCATGAAGATATATTTAAAGACATTTTTATAACAATTTTGCTATGAGAAAAATGTAGGGTACAGAATTAAAAATGGAATTTCCTATTGTATACCTACAGTGTATGAAGTGTAGTATGATGGAACTGGAACTAAAAATATGTTTAGGCAAAAATACACTGAATTATCAGTTTAGGTAAGACTGTTCACTAATAGTTTTATTCTTCCTATATGTCTATCATTTTATACAGATGTCTTTTAGTGAAAAAGCTTCTACTTTCAATGATCCATTGTAATGTTGGAAACATTTTTGATAATATTAGATAGTTTATTGTCTAAATATTTATTTTCATATTTAAATGTAAACTAAAGATTTTCATTTCTCTCTGTTAATGAATCACAAGCTTACGGAATTGGTACAAAACCGTCAGTACAGACGTTTTTGTCTTTTTTTTTTTTTTACATATGTGATGGTTAAAAAAACATGGCTCACACTATTTTCAAGTATGCTTTATCTCTGACTCATAGTCACTAATTTTCATGAAGACAATTTACAGAGGAATAATTGCCAGTTGTCATTAGCCATCTTTTCCTCACTCAATTCAGACAGCATAGGAAATCCAAGATATACAAAGACTTCGAATCTGGGAGATGAGTCAGTGGGTAAAACATTTGCCATTTAAGTAAGAGTTCCTGAGTTCAAATCCTGGAACCCATGTAAGACCCAGGCGTGATGATACACATAACTGTATTCCCATCATTCTGCCAGGGAATCCCTGGAAGCTCATGGACCAGCTAGCCTGATATACATAGCAGTAAACAAGGGACTTGTGGCAGAAAGGCAGAGGTGAGGACCATTTCCTGATGTTGTCTTCTTAGCCTCACGTGTGCAACATGGCACATGTGTGCCTACACTTAGACACATCAATATGTGTACACATACACACAGATATCGCATACCCGTACACACACAAAAAGTTTAATGTGATGACAATACAGCTTAGTGGTGGGACAGTTGCCTAGCATGTGCAAAGCCTTGAGTTCAATTCCCAGCATCATCAAAAAGAAAACAAATAATCAAGACTACAGAATAGAAAAGGAACAAAAACCAACTAACAATATGCTAACAAAGTACAATAAATTAAGTGTCTTTTTCTTATTTCATCTTCTGGTGGTTAAAAAAGCAAAACAATACTAGTTTATTATTGTCTTATCTACTGGTGAACTCATTCCATAATAATGCATAGACATAGCAGTTAATTCTACAAAGCCTTTTTACTATAGCAAAGAGAATTGCTTTTACTTAGGCTCTGGTCTTTTTAGTATTTTGGTTATCACTGATTATAAGTTAGAAGGCAATATTTTTCAGTACTTCTGTTATACTGATGATTTTCTCTTTGGTCATATTAAGTTGTATTTCAAACTTTTTAAGTAGGCTGTGTACATGAAGCTGGCTAGTAGAATTTTTCAAAAACAATTTGGGGGCTGGGGAGATGGTTCAGTGGTTAAAGCACATACTGTCCAAGCATGAGATCTAGGGTTCTTATCCCTAGCAGCCCTGCAGCACTGAGTGGGCATAGCAGTCTGCCTGTAATTCCAGCCCTGGAGGTGGCTTTGCAGTTCCCAGATTAAGCTGGCTGACAAGACTAGCCTTACCAATAGCTCTGGGTTCGATGGAGAGACCCTGCTTCAATGAATAAGGTAGAAGAACAGATAGTCAAGGATGATTCCTGATACCAACCTCAATCCTCCACAAGCCTTTATACACACATGCATGCACACCCACAGACAGACACACATGCACCCACACACGTCCAAAAATAATCAAAAATGTGCACACATACATGCAAACTCCACAAAGAGACAAGAGAGAGAGAGACAGAGAAACAGACAGCACACAATAGTGAGTGAGTGAGCACACTGATCATGGAGTCAGAACCTCAGGCTCTTGTATTCTCCTCTAGGTGGGTGTGTAACAGTCTGTCTCTGACACCTCTCTGTGACTGTGTTTAGACTTTGAATACTGCTGTAAAAAACCTAACCAACATTTATATGATCCCTAAGAGAAAAATGTTTTTACTAAGAGGCAGAGATTTTGAGCACTGCTTATCATGCCATGAAAATTGATCACTTTGGTTACCCCATATCATATTAAACTGGCAGTCATATGTGTTCAGATTCTAATTGTCCATATGGAAGAGCCTTCTACTTGAACAGGAGTTATTGTTTACTTCTGGTCAATAGATTGACTATATTGGTTGGAGTATCACTATGTTCCTGTAATGTATTTGAACCACTCAACAACTGTCTGTTTCGCCAGCTACCATTTCTGTTTTAGAAGTTTTGGAGCAGTGATTCATTTGATTGTTTCCTTGATAAACTGTAAAACACCATGATGACAGGATCAACAATAAAAAATAAACAACAATAACAACAAAACCACAGAAAACACCTTAACTAAATTCCTGGAATTTAGTGAGTGATAAGACTAATGAATTGATCAATTTAATTTATCAACTATAAGCTTGTTGGCTCATCCTAAAGTAGTGGTCCTGGTGAAGAATTACGTAACGTTTGCATGGCAATGATCTTTTCAGTTATGCATTAATTCCGGATTGAGTGAAGCTAGGATTAAGACATTTAGTCAGCTGTAACATTGAAGGTATCGAGCATTATCTGAGATTGATAAATGTCAGCACTTGATGATCCTGCAGTTGTTTCAAACATGCTGTTTATAACCTTTAGTTTGGTTTACTCATGTATGCTAGTCTTATCATATATTGAGATTATGATATTTTAATATTTGACTTGGAAAAAATCTTATGTTTGATAATTCTAGAGAACCTGTAGTGAATTTCTACATTATTTTAAATAAAACATGCAAATAGAAATTTTCACCTGGATTCTCAAAGATTCAGAAATATGATGCAACACTGAGTTATTAAATATTGTCACCTTTGGATAAGATCACAAAACTGACACTGCTTAAGCTGTATTTTCTTAATGTATGTCATTTTAAATGTATGCTGAGCATAACATTTTCTATAGCTGAATTCCTGTTTTTCAATAATTTATTTCAGTTACTATGGAAAAAATACCTAGAGATTGATCATAGTAGATGGGTTTAAAAAATACAGCTACAGAGTACATGTAAGGAACATGTGTGAGTGTGTGTGGATGTGTGTATACAAATGTGTGTGTGTAGGCCTGAGGTCAATGTTGATTGCCTTTATCTTCTCATTTTCTGAAGCAGGGTCTGTCATTGAACCCGTAGTTCATAAATTCTGCTAGCGTGGCTGGCAGGAGCTACAGGGATTCTCCTGCCATCACCCAGGACAGGTGCACACAATGATGTTCAGCTTTTTACAGGGTTTCTGGGGATTCGAACTCCTGTCCTCTTGCTTGTGCAGCAAGCAGTTTACTGACTGAGCCATCTCCCCAGCCCTGGAGAACATCTTTTAATAAAAAACTGAATTTTTAATGCTTTATTATAATCCAATTAGTAGGAAATAAATGTCTCTAGTTTTTATATGGTAGAAACATGTTCCTTTAAAATTTTTTCTTTTATGTTTATTCATTTTGTGTGTGCATGTGCATACCAAGGCATACATGTGGAAGTCATAGACAACTTGTGGGAAGCAGGTGTTCTTTTTTCCACCATGTACACCCTAAGGATCGAACTCAGGTCATCTGGATTAGCTGAAAGCACCTTTATCTGCTGAGCCATCTTGCCAACCCAGAAACCTCTTTGTTTTACAGAAACAAAGCCAGCTTGTTGTGTGGGTTAAAAATGATTGAAGCGATTGTATTAGGGTGATTTCTTTATTGTGGAGTTGTTATATGAAACTATCTGTGATGAATTAAAAATTATATATAATATGTAAAATATATGTATTATATATGGATCATTCTAGAGCTTTGAATGTCACAGACTCTCCTAACTACAGAGATCCACAATATAACAAATGCCACCTGGTAAGGTTTCCCAGTATGATTCCTGAAATTGTCTCTTGATTATGCAACAATCTGTGCTGTTTTCTGCAGTTAAAGGCTCTTCATAAGCAGAGAGATTTATTTCTCAGTAGACTTATTTTTATATCAGCAGTAAACAAAGAACTTTTCTTAAGTTGAAATTTACTTCATCAGGAATTGGTTGAGATCATTTCCAAATATTTCCTCAAATGGTCGTTCAGCTATGAATCCTTTGAAAATTCAAAGAAGTGCTGAATAAGATCTTGATAATTAATTGATATGTATAAAGTTTAGTTTATGTACACAACCTAACAATAGGAGATTGTAGCAGAACATATGCTTGCCTTTAGCCCCAGTCACATTTACTAGTATTTAGTTTAAGAAACATTTGAATTTTATGTCTGCCTAAAACCATCATTTATATGGACACTATATACATTTTTATATAGTGGGTTTATATTTTATATATTATAGTGGGTTGAATTTGTAACTCACATATCTGGCAGAAATCATCTCTGGGGCCCGCCTACCTTTCAGTTAGGTTTTCACAATGTAAGCATATTCCCATCCCTCTTGTATATAGAGAACAGGAAGCAGTCACCTTAGATAACTACCATTCTGTGTATCTCATTTTTATGTGTTGATTCACATGCAGGATTTACACCTGTTACCATAATTAAAGAATCTGTTTGTATTTAAACTATACTTACAGTTGGTGTGTGGTGTGTGTGGTGTTGAGTTAAATCCAGGGCCTTAAGTGTGGTAAGTTGAAGTTTTTTACATCTAAATTTAGTAACTCTTTCTCTGAGACAGATTTCATTCCTTATTCATAAGTCACCGATGCCTTTTTACAGACAGTGTCTGTGAAAGTATTGCTTTGACTATTATTTAACATTTAACAACTCAAAGCATAAAAATGACCAATTAGAATTTGAAGTCACTGGATTGTCTTATAATCTTTTAAATTAAAGATAAATTTTAATCCCAAAGACTTGTAGAAATGATGTTTAAGACATTTACTGAGGGTTGTTTGTAATGTGCATGCTACTATGTGCATACTGTTACCACCAACTTTGATGAACAGACAGGAACATCAAAATGACTGTAACATTGTCCTGAGAGACCCTTACATGCTGGAAAGAGGAACAGATCCTTTTTCGAAACTAACCTCTTTAAGAACAAGCGTCAGCTCTTGGTTTACTGCTCTGTTCGCTCAAGTTAGCAGCATCTGACAACATCATATATGTCTTTAGGGCTTACTGAGTTAAATGAGTAAAAAATAAAAAGTGAGTGAGCAGATATCTCTTTAAAGGAATATGTATGTTCATATATATATGAGACAGAATCTTACTGTGTAGTTTTGACTGGCTTAGAACTTGTGAAGACTGGGCTGAGCTTGAACTCATGGTAGTCATCCTCTGGAGTGTTGGAATTAAAGGCATGCTCTTCCACACTAGCTCAAGAATATATTTAATGTTAAAGATGGCGTGTTTTTACCAATCATTTGAGATCATTTTTCTAATTTGCTAATTTTCTTGTTTTCTGCCATGAGTGGATATTTGTTGGTGATAATATATGATTTGACTGCATAGCTAATGTAAAACAATTGTGTCCTATAAACCTGCAGTTAGCACTAGTATCCACTAGATGGAGATATTGTATGCTTTAGGTTTAAAAGGTTTCACAATGGTGTGGTTGTTCAAGGTTTTACCTGTGATGTTTAGAATGACCATGTCTTTTAAAGTATAGATCATATTTTGCCTTTTTACTACATATATTTCAGAAACAAACTCATTCCTTATTGGAAAGTGAGATAAGGTAAATATGTAAGCATTCCATATTCAATTATATCTTTCAAATTCAAGGACAATCATAAAGTAAAATAATAGAGAAGAAAGGTTCTTCCATTTCAGGGAAAATGAAAATTGTGTTATCTGTGACTAACAGCTTGGAGTTCACATCTAGCTTCACACAGACCATTGTTTCCTGATCTATTCTCCACTCTGGATAGATGTGGCACTGGTGCTGCGTGGAAACAGGCAGGGTGGCCTAAGTGGTCAGAGCTTACCGTCTTAATGATGGACACTTGGTGAACTCAGAAATCTGTGACATGTGCCTTTATCCTGGCAGGCAGTCATTTAAGGGAAGTGGGTGCATGTCTAGTGAACCAGAATGTCTTTTTCTGAAGAAAAATAATCCTTATGTCTACATAATTCTTTAGAGGCAAGCAACCAGTAGCAATCTCCTTATGGGTACACCTTTATATATTTTGATAGTAAGATGGACAAGTTAGGCCCTCCACTCCGAACTGGAAGACATGTGCAAAGGTTGTATGCCAATGACACAAAGTCAGACAGTGCCTTCAAAAGACATGAGTTATTTCCAGTTTACAAGTAAGTATTTATAATGCAGATACTTCTTATAGGCTTCCTATTATAGAATACTGTACTTTTTTACTTTCTATGTAAAAGTGATCTTACCTTAATCATTTTAAGCCATTTTAGTGCTAAGTGGCTTACAAGCTATAAAATACTTTTATTATTATTAAGGGTTTCTATTCAAATTAACATTGATCATGCTTTTTATTCTATTTAATGTTAATTTTATAAGGTATTGTAGCAGTCACCTTCAACAGTTATTTTTTGTGAATGCTAAATATTTTTAGGAGTAGTAGCCTTACAAAGAAGCGTATAGGGCAAATTACATAGTCAACCAGATGATGAAATCTAGCTAGAGGAAAATGGGTCCTAGAAAAGCAGTCAGGTGATTCGTAGTCCTTTTGAATTGTTTATAAAATCCACATGATATATAGAAGAGGTATGAAACTGCTGGATAACACACCTATCTCTTTTGGCCTACTGGCCAAGAACAACGGCAATCACAGTCACTCTTAAAGCACTCAGAAGCATGAGATTTGAGGATTGACCTATTTGGACTTCAATATCTATCAGTTTTAGTCCTCATTCATAATTATGAAATTAGGATGTAACAAATGAATATCTGTTTAAAATTTAAAAATATTAATGAAGTTAACAGTACATCCTACTTATTATTCATCATGAAATATACTGATAAATTCAACTATGTATGCTATGAAACAGTTACAGGAGAAGATTCTAACATAGCGTGATTGATTCTGAGTAGTTAGTGATCATTTGTAGAAGGAAGACATTGTGTTCTGAGCCTTGAATTGATGCAGATAGCAGGGGGAATTGTCTAGGAAAAAGATAAAAAAAATAGCACATTAAGTTTATGTATAGACTTAGGATAAATCTTACCAGATTGTGGCCAGGAAGAAAAATGTTTTGAGTATGTGAGCAGTAGGTAAAGAATTGATCAGCATAGATAGTTCTTTCCAGTCACTTCAGAATGGCTCTTGACAAATTTCATCTCTTAGATGAAATTAGAAGAACAATAGGTGTATAGTATCAAAGCAGTTTGGGTTGATAATCTTATATTTTCTTTTAAGTTTAATCATTTAATATTTAATATATTTATAGATGATATTCAAGGTATTTTTAGCTATGTATCTTAGACACATTATATGAAGGTAATAGTGTGCCTGGCAATACTTGTAGAGCTTTTAAAAAAGAAAAGGAAAGAACTATACTTCCTATTTGAATGGCACTCTGACAGTTTTCTTTACATAGAGATCAACTTAGAAAGACATGATTCCACTCCCACTTTACAGAACTAGAATAGAGTAAGCCTCACAGATAGACTCGAGACCATTTGAAGAAATGTTGGCTACCTCATCAGTGTACTAGTGTGTTTCTTTGATTGCTGGAGAAGTAGCTACTCAGAGCAACCATTCTGAATTGTAGCAGTGTGTATTGAATATAGGATCTGTACTGCTATCCACTAAATTCAAGTACTAGTCTCGCCACATAATAGCACTACAGCTTACACAGTCTCTAAACACAGGTTCTCCAAGCCCGTCATGTGGTACAGTATATTTAGACAATATCTCAAAAACAAAATGTCAACATAGAAGGAAATGATATCTTCATATTTAGTATAGTGAATATTTGGAGAATAGTTATTACATGCATTTATTTTGGAAGTAGTTATTCAACCTATTAGGGATGCTTCCAACCTTAATATATATATATAAAAATAGAGTTGGAAGAATTTCAGCCATAGATTGGGAACTGCTAGAGAATTTTTCACGTTTTTTTCCATTTATATTACATAATTGCTTGTTTGCAAATGAACTTAGTCCTTAAAGAAGAAGAGGGACTGTTGCCTTCTTGGCTTTCTGAATATTGACTTTGCAGCATACTTCTAGAGTCACTTTGGTTAAGTTACTCAAGGGCTTTTGTCATTTTTAACTCATCTGTAACATGAAAATTATTTATTAGAATTAAATAAACTTAGGCAAATCAGAAATGTATTTAGTATGTAGTAGTAACTATTAAAAGTGAACATGTGGAGCTGGAGAGATGGCTCAGCAGTTAAGAGCACTACCTGCTCTTCCAGAGGACCTGGGTTCAATACCCACATGGCAGCTCCCAACCATCTGTAGCTCCAGTTCTGGGGTCTGACATCATTACACAGACGTATAAGTGGGCAGAACACCAGTGTGCATGTAATAAAAATGCATCATTTAAAACTTTTTAAAAGTTAACATGTAGTGGTGATATCAATAGTAGTAGTATAATAAACATGCTGCATTTTTATATGAATTTATACCTCAAAACCTTTCTGTAATGTAAATGGTCAATTTACCAATGAGGAAACTCAAGTTATCCTCATTATCATTGTCGTTACCAAGTTGTTCGTTAACAGTTTTGATCTATGTTATATTTTAGGAAAGTAATGCTATACAATGTATCATTAACACATTATACTGCTTGTTTTCAGATTAAAAATACTTACTTGGAATTGATTCTCTTGAACTTCTCTACGGCCTCTGTTTTTCCACTGGTATAAAAAGATCAATCAAGAAACATTCGTTTCTATACTTTTTCATCATGTTGACACTTTCTCTCTTCCAGAGCTAACATCAAACCTCGAAATACTACACCTCCTAGCTTGGCAAGAAATTCTGGGGCAGGTGTGCTTACCAACAAAAGAAAAACGTTTACTGAGAGCTATGTAGCCAGGTATGTTTAGCTTGCTCACCTAATAATTAGAGTGAAAATTAATGTATGCAGTCAAGTTCTATATACAATGATAGGTAATATGCTATGTATGATTTGGTTTTCCTTTATTGTAGAACTCAATGTAGCTTTCAAATGGACCAGAAATTGTTGAGGCATAAATACTGTTTTCTTATACTTTTTCATTGTAAATACTCAAATACGCCCATGTTCAGTTTTACTGCATTGATTTAGCTTTTTCTTTTCCTTTTTTCTTGCGTGTTTAAATATCAAGTGCAGTATTAACTGCAAATAGACCTTATGAATATCACTATTATAATTTTCCATATTTTGATATTTAAGCCTTTCCTGAAAAGGCTATATATATATATACGTATATATATATGTATATATATACGTATATATATATATATACGCACATACACATACATATACATACACACATATACATGCACATACACACATAGACACATACACACAGAGATTAACATTATTTTTTAATGAAAAGATGGAAAAATGGAAAAATCATAATTAACAGATAACTGGAAAGTTAATATAAAGTTTGTCCATAAGATGTGTCATGAGACCCTGTCCATAGGTGAGCCATAAGCTACAAACTGGATTTTGAAATTTTTAGTAGTGAGGGGACAATGGCTGTAGAGGTACGGTTTATAATGTTTATAAAGTAAAAACTACATTTTCTCTGAAAAAGTGTACTTAGTCCGAGGTCTTAAAAACTCTTCTAGGGGCTTTATGAGGAAGGTCCTGGGTGACATCATGAATAACTTCAGTAATATCCTTACTGTAAACATGGGACAAGTTTCATAGTTTGTTTCACTGAAGGCCAAGGACATGATATCCTGTGATGTACTCATGGTTGTGATGTGTGTGTCGTAAGTGTCTATTTCATGCTTTGTCTCAAGTGTGTAATGTATCCAGTTCTCCAGAATTTTGATTTAACTCAGGGATAGGTTCAAATCCTCGATCTTGTTCTCAACCTTAGCTGCCTATCAGAATCATCTTGGGACTTCCTATAGCTGAAGTGATAGATTTTGAGATCTGGTTTAGAGAGTGGGCATTTGTGCATCTGCCATAGACAGAGCTTTAAGAGTGATGCTTCGTGTAACAAGATGTGAATAACAGTAAAACACATGAATTATTATGCTCCCAGCTAGATTCTTGAATAAATGCTGTCTGTCTCTGCTGGGATCTTGATGTATATCAAATGTCATAGACATGAACCTCTTTCTTGGAAGTCTGAAATACGGCTTTACTGTGATATATATACAGATTTACATATGTGTATCTCCTTGTACTTTGAATCAAGGTTGGAATTAGGATTAATGTTCTCTTATTCTTAATAAATTAAAAAATATATGCATATCTGTATCATATACTTTAGTATTTAAAAATGTCATATCCAGAGAGCGATCAAAAGAAAAAGAAATACTAACAAGCAGGAGCAGAAACTTCCCAGTAAGAAATGCAGTTTTTCTTAAATGATTGATACCTAAGAAAAAGCCAGAACCTTTCTCTTCAATTTTTTAACACTTTTGCATCTTAGGGGGTAACAATCATGATTGTAACAGACCAAGATTTCTGAGATATTTCTTTTCTTAGAAAAATAACAGAGTGTACAGTCTCAAAATTGTTCTTGGTGAAACACCCAGAAATGCGAGATTATAGTGAAAATCTATTACTGTATATGTATATATATATTGAAAAGACCAATTATTGAGTAAATCACAAGTAATACCTAGTATATTTTCTGATTAGAGATTGGTATATTAGATGTTATTACAGTCTTTTTCTCAGCAACAAGCAGGAAATACAGTTTTTATGAAAATCCCACTTGAATACCCAAATTTAAATTACAAGGGAATCAGTTTAAAGACCATGAAAATTTTTTGACATAGAAAATTTAAGACTTTAATGATACTGAAGAATATATAAGTAGATATAATCTCCCCGTAGAATATTTATTACCAAAAATCCATTTTGAAAAGCTTTCTGTACCAATCACTAAATTAACATATATATTAATATCATTTTCAAATAATTCATGAATCTAGATTAATCATTTTGAAAATATGTGTAAAGAACAAAAGTTCTGAAATTAACCAGGACAAGGCAAAAACAGTATTGTGAATGATGTGTGAAGTACAGTAGTTCATACGGTTTGATATTGATTCCTGGATAAACAAATAGAAACGATTAGAGGGAAAGGCCTTAGTCACATGGATGGCTAGAAATCTGCCCCCACTGCAGAGGAAGCAATGCAGATGTCTAGGGTAGAGTATTCGGGGACTAACAAATTTGCCCATATAGGAGAAAATCAGTGATCGGAGCCCTTGCTGTGCATATGTGTGCTTGAGTATGTACACTGATATTCTCTTTCTTTCTTTCTCTCTCTCTCTCTCTCTCTTTCCCTCTCTCCTCCCTTCCCCCCCTCCCCATACACACACACACACACACACACACACATATAAAACAGTAAATTAATTGCTAGTAAACTAAATGCCTACATTTGGAAAGTATAGCCATTACGATTTTAGAAAAACAGGAAGTCATTATCTGATACAGGAAGGGATGTCTTGAATAATTTAATAAATGCTGATTTACAACAAAGGATACATTTGACCATACTAAAGCAAAAAAAACAAAACAAAACAACAAAAAAAACCCCATAGTGCTGTAAAAGCCTGAGATTCATTGAAATCACACAACATATTGGGAGAGGAGCTTACTATTCACAGCCAAATGTGTCCAAGTGACATTGTGTCACTGTGTTGTCATCTACAAAGTTTATTTTGATATCAGTGCAGTTGACTTATCAAAAAATGAAATCTGACTATATTTTAATAAGCTTTAGATTTTGTGTTGGATCCCATTTGTAGCTTTCTTTGGCCACATGAGGCCCATGGTTACCGAGTTGGACTTGCCTGACTGACAATGATATGTGGGGATTTGCTACAAATACAGTAGTAAGGGTGAACCCATAAAATTAATAACTCTGTGGCTTGGTGGGAATAGAGGACAGGAACAGCATATTGCCAGTAGAAGAAACATCAATGCCAGAGAAATGTGAAAGGATATTTAGCCTTACAAACAGGAATGTGCATATATTAAAACTATGTAGGTAACCATTTTATACTTACGAGGTGAACAAAAGAAAATGTCTTAGCACAAAACACATTGATAGGAAATGGGATAATGAAGAACCTTGTGTGCTCCTAGTTGGTGCATGCATTGGCCAGCAATTATGTACAGAATTTAGTAATGCCTAGCAAAGTTGAAGTTTTAGTACTATATGAAATTTACTAATGGGTGAGCATGTTGGGTATTTAAATTTTTTTTTTTTTTTTTACATTTTGAATTAATTATATTTTTCACTGGCATAAACCTAGTTTATTTTCCCCTTGTTACTCTCTCTTGATTAATATTGATTATATAGCCTAATTCATTTAATATTGTGTTTGTGGTTTGTAAGAATTATACCAAGCTGTAATTTATTCTCAATATCTATCAGTGCATGTGTTTCCATTTGGATAACTTTAGTGATTTTACAAACTGTTCCTCTTGGGACTACAATCAGGAAAGTATATGTGGAGTATTAAAACACAGGAGAAGCCAGGCAGTGGTGGAGCACACTTTTAATTCCAGCACTTGGGAGGCAGAGACAGGCGGATCTCTGTGACTTCGAGGCCAGCCTGGTCTACAGAGTGAGTTCTAGGACAGGCTCCAAAGCTACAGAGAAACCCTGTCACTAAAAACCAAACCAAACCAAAGCAAAAGAAAAACACCATGAGATGCTGATATTTACTTCATTTTTATCTCAAGTTTTAAGTGCAAAGCAGCCTGTAGCCTTCTTCCATTACCTTCCCACATCTGGAATTACAGGGGTGTTTCACCATGCATGCCCAGAGATCGTTTTATAATTTGAACTAGAGGACTATTAAAGTTCACATCAAGATTTTAGTTTCTGTATATTAATTACTTCCTGTTATTTATTGGATCATGTTAAAACTACTAGTGTGAGTGAAATTGATTCCTGAACTTCTTTCTCTACTTCTGTAGGCCAGATGGAGACTATACATCTTCAGTTAATGGTGGAAACATTAAAGGCATTGAGGGAAATTCATCTGGACACTTACCCAAATTCTGCCATGAGTGTGGGACAAAATACCCTGTTGAGTGGGCAAAGTTCTGCTGTGAATGTGGCATTCGAAGAATGATTCTGTGAACCAACTCTTACCAGTTGAGGGGCGAGGCTCAGAATTTGATGATTATTGCTGCTTTGACACCCAGGGCACTTCTAGTTAGTTGTGCTAAAGCTATTTACAGTACCCTTTCCCTTAGTCTGTGGAGCATAATCCTTTGGCTGTATAATGTGTTTGTATATATATATGTATGTATATATATTCTGTATATAATAAATCTGATTTCTTCAGCCTGTGCATTCAAGGAAATACTTAAGTACATGTCAAAACCTAAGTTGATATGAGATCGTTGTCTTGGGTATTGCTCTTCAGTTGTTTAAACACATTAGTATACTTGCACAAGCATTCCTACTCTAGTGATGAGCCTTACAAGCTTTAGGATAACCACATCTCTGAACAAGAAATCAGAAGAGATGCTGATGTTGATGCCTATGACCAGTAGCATCATAGAGAATGGGATACTGGAGTTTCTGCTATTAAGAGAATGTTGTTTAGTCATTATCAGTTGATGTGAAGTCATTTTCCCAGCTGAACTCTTCAGCAACTAGTGTTAAATTCCAAAAAAAAAAAAATGATGAAAAGGAAAATCTTAGGTCCATATTGCTGGTAACTTCATGAATTATTAATTACATAACCTAATTAAATTATTGAACATATACTCATTCTGTGAACATATAATTATGCAATCTCCTTTTCAGAAATGACTGGGCATATAAATGTATTTTACTCTGCTTATAACTGAATGATTAATTTACCTCCATCTTGTTTGAACACATTTTCTCTCCACTTCCAATTGTGTTCTGAGATTTTATTTTTCCTTCTTTTGGCATAACTCCTTTGAAGAGTAGTTTTAGTTTACTACTACAGTCTTAGCAGTATTAAATATAAAATTATTTAAGGTTTTTTTTTTGTAAAATCTTACATGTTTAAACATTTTATTTGTGTATGGTATTTATAGAAAATTAATACATTTTAAAACAAATTACCCTTCCCAATAAATAATAATTGTGGTACTCATTAATTCTGAGCATGCAGGCGAAGCTGTTTTTAGTTCCTCATGGTTCATATAGTTAGTAGTACATTGAAAGAATATCTAGTTTTCCTATTCATATTTCCTTTAGTGCTTACCATTGAAATAACATATATTACACTTGACTACAATACGTTTTGATCGTTCTTTCACTCTAACAGCACTCACTGGCAGGCCGCTTTGGCAGAGTATGTTCCACAGTCCTGTAGTAATAGCTGTTCAGTCTGAACTTTACCTTACAAGGGTACCAATAGCATTTTTTGTGTGGCTGTGGTTCCTGCCTTGCTTGTTGTTTCTGATTAAGGATGGATGTAGAAATTCATTGCTTAGAATTTCATTTCTGAAATTTATCCGCTTCTGTTTTATTTTAATTTGTGGAGGGATTTTAAACTTGTAATGAGTCATCATTTTGTTCACCTAATACTTCCTTTCTTGTTATTAGATTTTCTCCCTTGTTTATTCTATTTGGTCATATTGATAAATTCAAAACCAGTCAGCTTAAATAAGTAGTAATGAATTTAGAAGACTAATAAAACAATTTAGATTTTCATTTTAGTAATTCCTTTTTTGTTTAATTGGTTATAAATATATGAAGAACTTTTAATTCAACTTTAGAAATGAGCACTATTTCTTTCAATTGTATTTTTAACTTATATAATCTTTTATCCTACTTAAAGAGTGGGTGGATAAATCGTTTTTAAATAAACAGACATGTATGTCATTGACTTCTACAGTAGCCAGTGTTAAAAGCATACTACAGAGATAAGCTGATCAAACACAGTCAGTTCCAGAAACTAGTGATCACTGTAGACAGTAAGTTGGTGAAATACACATTTGAAATATGTTACAATTTTAACAGATTTCTATGGTCCATATTTTACTCTCATGTTGATGTGTTGTGCAATAGTTTTTTTTTATTCTTCCTATGCACCATTCATTTTTATTTATTTGCACAATTATTTGCAAGTGTGATAGAATGAAAAGTGATTGTAAGGTTAAATTAAGATGGAATATTGCTTATAGATTATTCTGAAAGTTATTCACTTGAAACAAATAAGACCATTGTGACCGCTGTTGTCTCTTATTCACTGTTTTTTAAATTATAAATGATATATTCATTTTGAATCAATAAAGACACAAAACATAAATTGTTGTTTGTTACATTTATTGACATCTTTTAGAATGATAGGAATAAACTAAATAAAATATTTGTAAAATACATTTTTAATAATACCATAGTTTTTTAATTGCTGTTTTATGGCTTTAAGTAAACATTTGTTACAAGCTTTTTTTTTTAACTTTTTAATTGATTCTCTGTGGATATCCCATCATGCATCCTGATCCCATTCATCTCCCCTTCCCCTTCCCCTTGCTTCCACCCTCTGTCCTTGCAACTTCCCCCCAAAACAAAATTTAAAAGTAAAAAACAAAGTCTCAGCATGGAAGCTGTAGTGTGGCCCAGTGAGTCACACAGTATACCCTTTAGTCTGTCCATCTTTACTTGTATGTGTTCATTACAATGAGTCATTGGTCTGGGTTGAGGCCTCTCGCTTCTTCTGCTACACTATTGATACTGGGCCCTCACTGGGACTCCTCTTGGATATCCTATTGTCATGTGTCATGGAGATCCTGCAGCTTTGGATCTGCAGGTCCAGCCCCTTCACATGCTCCAGTAGTTCACAGATGTAGTGGGTGTTGGGATAGGCTACCTTCTAGTCCTGGTTCTGAGCCTGGGTGGTGGCTGGATTGGTCAGCCTGCAAGCTTTCCCTCAGCGTCACCTCCCAGGTGATCTTTCCAGCACTACCTCTGCTAGTTCACCTAATGTAGCAGACAGCAAGGAGAGGGCCATTTCTCCTGCTCTTCACACCCTTGGGTCCAGCCCACCTCTACTCACACCGTCAGGGCCAGCTCTGCTGTTTTGCCCAGGGTTTGCCCAGAGTTACAGGGCCCACTGTCGGGATTGCTGCAGTTGGTGAGGGGCAGGGCCAACTCTTTCACTCTCATGCCCCCAGGTTGGCTCTCCTGATGCAAGTGGCAAGGAATTGGTGGGGAAGCGGGCTCTACTGCTCCTGAGCCTGCAGGCCTGGCTCACCCAGGCCTGACAGCAGGGTTAGCTCTAGTGTGCAAGGTGTCCTGCTGTAGCACTACTTTTCTTTGGGCTGCCAGCTCACAAACAATGACATGGAGACTTTGCTTTAATTATGAAAGCTCGGCCTGTAGCTCAGGCTTGTTCTGACTAGCTCTTATATCTTAAATCAACCTATTTATATTAATCTACGTTCTATCACGTGGCGGTACCTCTCCCATCTTGTACCTCCTGTTTCATCTCTGTGTCTCCTGGCATCTGCACGTCTGGATTCCTCCTCATCTTCCTTTCTCTCTCTGGAAATCCCACCTACATCTCCTGCCTGACTATTGGCCATTCAGCCTTTTAATACACCAATTACAGCAATACATCTTCACACAATGCACAAGTATCCCACAACATCCGGCTGCTATCCTGTGTGCTGCAGCTGGTGATGGGCAGGGACAGCTCTCCCACTGTTGTGGCAGGCTCTCTCACCTGCAGCAGCAGGCTCTCTCACCTGAGGCAGGTGGCAAGGATCAAGGGGAGGAGCAGCATTTTTCTTCTTACAAGTTTTGTAAGGTATAGAAATACTGTTATTATACCCAACAAAGTTTTAAAATTGAAAGCAGTAATATTTCTAGATAAATACTATACAATTTAATGGAAAATATTTATAATGAGTCAAGACTAGACCATACTTTAAATTTTAAGACAAATGCTATATCTAATGAAAATATGGCTATTAGATGTTTCATTTGTATTCAGTTTTTTCCTAAGCTAAAAATGAATGCTTTTTCACTAGGAACTCAAACAGTAAAAAATCTAATAGGAAAAAAAAAAACCACAGACTTCATCACAACACTTGGTTATTTATTTATGTTGAACATACATGTATTTTATGTGGTAAATATATCTTCAGTACTGAGGTCATTCGATTTTTGAAATGGATTATGTTATTGAGTATATCTGGGAAAAGTTTAAATTAGAACACTCGTTTTATTTTTACTTGGAAACATTTTGATTAAATATTTAAATGCTCATTATTTAAATACTTTCTCTTTTATGTGTATTGCTTTGGTTGCCACTAGAGGGTGCTTTTGTATAATTTACAATTCCCAGCCTCCAGTTGTAAAGGTCTCTAGGTTTTGATTTTGAGACATGAAATTTCAGGGATTTATGAATAATTCTTTGGTGCTTGTGTCACTCTTAGAAATCTCTATATTGACACCTTAGAAAGCTAGTGTACGCCATTTGGAGCGCCACCATGGGAGTAACTTAAAGCAATAGCCAATATTGCCTTTCACCAAGTTTTAGCAAAACACCATTCTAGAATATTGCCGGCTGGCTGTTGCTTTAACGTCTCACCTTAGCTGTACGTAAACACGACAGGTAAAGATAACAAATTTATATTTAATTGCGAAGAAAAATGCTTTTAAATTGTACATAAAATACTCCAATTGTGTTAAAACAGTACAAATAAAAGACATGAAACATTTTTCCTATATTGTGCTTGCTTCTACTAGAATATTTGGTGAATTTTATGTAAATTTCATACATTGTGGACTGTCTAAATATGTAGTTTGTTTATACTCTTTATGAAGCAAATAGTTTTATAGTTTTCAGAATCAAGTGTGACTCTGTCTTATCTAAAACTGCCACTTTTCCATTGAATTCAAGCATAGACAGGTGTAAATGCTACCTTTGTGAGCTGGGTAAGCTAAGTAATTTTTGCAATAATTTACTGTGAAAAATGCAGTTAAACCTAAGTACTATTTTAATGAAATTTTTCTGAATTTTACTCAAGAAACTTATAAACCGTCTGTTTTTTTGATTTGTCATACTCTTTTCTTTTAAGTGAACTTTACTCTACTTGAAATAAGAATTAAACTTAGTTGGAATAGCTGGAAGCTGTTTGTCTTGCTTCTGTTGACCGAGTTGTGCAGCTGTGAAATAATTCGAAGTTTTTCTGCTATTGTTTTTGTCTCCCAATTATTTTGGTCAAGAAATATACTTTAAAAAGTAGAAAGTTTTCAAGGCCAGCCTGGGCTACCAAGTGAGTTCCAGGAAAAGGCTCAAAGCTACACAGAGAAACCCTGTCTCGAAAAACCAAAAAAAAAAAAAAAAGTAGAAAGTTATTTTGTTTACCAGTCTCCCCAAACTTGCACTACTTACAGGGAACTGTCATATAAACCTCACAAGAAAGGAGTTTTCAATTTTATTTTAAACACTGCTTTCTCAGCTCTTTGTAAAGATGCCACTTAATTAGTATTTCAAAGTAATTAAACAATTTTAGGATACAATGGACTATAAGATAAAATCAAAACGCCAATTACATGAGCATGACATTTCTGCCCTTCTTGGTCCATTTAGTAAGTATTGTCGTAGTTTTCTTGGGTCTGTAGAATAACTGATTCTCCCTGATGATGTTACCAGGGAGCTCCTTACTATGGATAAGAGACCTAGACTCACTTTACCAATATTTAAGTAGAAGACAAGAAGCAATATAAGAAATTAAACATTCCCTAAGTAATAGTTAAAAGTAAAAACGATTGGATATGTGGTAGATTTTTAAACTTAAATTTTGTTATCATTTATAATGAACATTTTGTGTTCGTATGGCTAGTCTCTTTTGAAAATCCTCCTGCATTTGGTGAGTTTTCTGAGTTGGATTATCTCACTGCCTCTAAATCATAGTCAACTTAGCTTTCCATCCATTCTTGCTTTCTTGTAGTAAGATTATGACTTTGTGACTAGGAAACAACTGAGCAGGCATGTATTAAGATTCTCCAAAAGAACTAATAGGAGTGTGTATGTGTATGTTTGTACACATAGATGTGTGTGTGTGTGTGTGTGTGTGTGTGTGTGTGTGTGTGTGTGTGTACTAGAACATATACATATGTTGTAGTATAGATATGTATGTGTACTTGTATAAATCCACAGGGACTTACTAAATTCATTTTCCACATCAGAGACTGACTCTGCAGTCCTATCAGAGTTCACCTCAGAGTCCCACAGTGGCCATCTGTAGGCTGAAGAGCACACATGTTGAATGAACTGTTAGAGCAAGAATTTTACCAACAGTTCAAGTCTTTCATTAATAAATAATTAAAACCAAAGAAGAAATGTTAATAACCTTTAATAAGCATTTAAATATTGTACTTTATTTTGCCATAGTCAGAATATTTTTCAGTGCTGATAGGGAGCAGTACAGACATCTTGCATATTTAGAGTTGACCGTTAGATGCAAATGCCCTCAGGTCCCTAGCTAGTGGCTTATCCGTTCTACCAGTTCTTCAAGGTAGACGACTACCATGTAGTAGATCCTATTTTATCATGAAACGTAACCCACTTAGCAGAGTCTGATAAAGAAACTGAATTTCTTAAAGTATAATTTGTTCTTGACAGTTTGAGAGAACTGGGTTTTTGTTGTTGTTGTTTTTGTTTTTTTCAAACAGTGATTAAGAAACAAACTTTAAACAATCAATTCTTCTCTCAAAACTGTGTTCATGCCAGCTGTCTGTACCATTGAGGATGAAGTCCATATGGGTTGGGGAAGAGGAAGAGCAAGAAGACATGGCCACCCCACATGGAATGTCACTGGAGCATGTGTAGACTGCATACAAACATCCAGCCCACAGCTACATGCTGAAGTGGCTGGGAAGAGCAAGAAGAATGTGAGTTCAGCAAAGCAAACTGTCATCTCTTTTCGAAATTTGGCCTCTGCGGGGTAATGTTCCTCTCCCTTAAAATTGAATGAAGACTGCAGGCCTTTCAAATGGTTTAAACAGGTGTATACATAGAATATACAGAGGCATCTTTTCAATGAGAGTCATTTAATGTAACAAAAATCGTGTTCCTAGCTGAACATATTGGCTCATGCCTGAAATCTGAAATGGGAGCATCATCATTTCAAGACCGGCCTGAGGTACACATGAGACACCACTGAAAACGAGAAACTGGAGTTTCTTCTTTTAACATAGTTGTGGGGGCTGTGCCATGCTGATTCTTGGTACCAATGTGTTGATGGGATGTGTTGGATGAAAGTAGGATCAAATGGCAGTGCACAGGGAACGCTTGAGGTCAAGGGAGCCTGACGGTGTTAACACATACGCCATTTATTTTAAAAAGAGAAACTATTCAAAGTAGGCGGTTGGTAGTGTTGTATGAAAATATTTTATATAAAGGTAATGTCAAAATTAAATATATACATTAATTAAAAGTCTAACATATATTATTATCTTAAAATATACTTCCCAAATTGAAAATTCAGTTAAACAAGCTTTAGTATATATAAATGACAAAAGTGACTGAATACTAAAGTTCAATATCTTTGGACTAAGTGCATTTCTGTCTTTAAAAATTCTTTTATTTAAAAATATGTGCTATGCTCTTTACTGAAGGTATGTGTTATACATTCATGTTTAACTACATTTCTTGATATCTGTCTTAAGTGCCTTAAGCTTTTTTTGTAATTTTTTCTTTTTTCTTTTTGCTGCTGCTGCTGCTTTAAGATGTGACTCTTGCTTTTTCATGAGCATTATCCATCACTGTGAGCCCTCCAGCATCTCCAGCATACAAGATGACAGTTCCACTCTTCAGATTGTTCACTGATGCCCAGTGGACCATAACATCATTTTGCTGATGAATTCTCGTAGGTTTTATTTTTGTAGGTTTGATATCTTCTGAAATATTTGGAAAGGTTTAGAAAGTATTGCAGATGACATGATTGCCTTACAACATCAGTGCAGCCGATACATGTCCATATGTATATTCTGACTGCAGCCATCAGTTACAGATTGTTTGTGTCCATTTTCTAGTACCTCATTGTGGATTTCCCAGTGGTTCTGGTCATTTGACCAGGAGGCATCCAGAAACTTCTGAGGAGATTTCATTTCCTCAAAATATATAAACTGGTAGATTTTTGGAGACTGCAATTGCACGTCCTATGTTTATATACTGCCCTTCAAAATTTTATTCCAACAAGTTTTTATCTCTCTCAGTAGTCTCTTTAGGAAACATGGGTCATTCTTTTTCTGTTCCTTCAAATTCTTTTCTTCCTAGAGAAATAAATTCATAAGATTTAATTTAATTTAACTCTTTGACATAACATGTCTCAAGATATTTGCGTTTTATTTTTCATTATGTTAGATTATACCTAATATTTAGTATACCAGAATGAAGACTCTTGCATGACATCTTAAAACTATGACCTATGGTGATAATTATGATTTCTGACTGACAGGAAAGTCTAGGCTACTTAAGCTTAATGTATCATCTGCCATTTTCACCCTGCATCAGTGGACTCCCATAAATGATACATATTTTACATAATTTAATTGAACTTCTTATATGAAAAAAATTAACACTGAAAATATTTAGATTAATAATAATTTGTCTGATTCAACTGATATCTTAGAGTTTGCTACAAAACTTAGTGTTTACTGAAGTATTGCTGCCATCTGCCTCATAAGTTGATTTTTGTCACCTCAGTAAGAGCTTTTAAAGGCTACTGGTACAGTGTTGAGAAAATGGAGAGAGATGCCTGCATACAGCAGATACTGGAGAGCAACAGTCATATTTCCTCTGAGCCATATGACATGGTAGGATGATTCCTCATTTAATGAAGAACCGGTTATTGAATATTTTCTGGGCCAGATATTACTCTAAGTATACCACATACTTTACTTTATTCTGTTTACTTGGTAACCCCATGACCTAATGATTTCACCTCTGTCCAAAAATGAGGATACTAAGTCACAAAGAGGTAAGAGCCAGAGTGACATGGATACATCTTGAGCTCATCTCTTCAATTCAGTCACAAATTCATATCTCTATTAGTTATATGCTTAAGTAACAGCAGCATGTGGCTTTTAAATAACTTCAGAGAGTATATGAGAGATTTTGAAGATAGATATGGGGAAACTTCATTAATCTTTTCAGCGGGGACACCAGAACATTTTTAAAGTACCAATGGAAGTTCCCTTGAATAAGTACTGTATTTCAATAAGAGAAAGGCAATTGGTACATTTGTGTAAGTACATTTCCATAGGTTCTACATCCTTGGATTTAATCAACTGAAATTGGAATATACTTGAAGAATATGGGTAGACTGCACTGAACATGTGTGGACTCTTGTTCTTGTCATTGTTCCTCAAACTACACATCGTAAAAACTAAATACTTATCATTTCCATTGCTCCATAGGCATTTTAAGAGGCCTACATGCAATTTAGAGTATATAGGAGGATATGTGTAAGTTATATACAGAAACCCCATCCTTTTCTGTAAGGAATGTGAGCATTGACAGAACTTTGTATGTGAGGAGATGGCCTGACCATTCACCTTGAATAGTGATGTACAACAATACACGACATGGAAAAAAGTAGGCAAAAAAAAAACCAAAACATTGCTTTTGTCTCTCAGATTCTGGAGATTAAAGTATTCTAAACTTTTCAAATGCTTAGTCACAGGTTCTTGGCATTTTTATTTTGTGTCCAGCTTACATATTTGTGTACTTTGAATTTTATAGTTTGAGTTGGAATGTCTAGAGTATGCAAACTCCCCTACTGCCTAACAAAGAATGCTTATGCTTCCATATATGTGTTGATTAAACATCAATAATGGAAAGAATCTGTCATCCACAAGTCAGCATACTCATTGTTCAATGTCCCAGACTGGTTAGTTTTTAAAGCAGGTTCAAATGGGCTTTCTGACTTTGGAACCAGGGCAAGACCAGCTTTCTAAAAGCCGAGGCTTCCTTGTAGAGAGAGGTAATACATCTGTTCTTGAAGTGGTCAGCAGCACTTACAGTGATGTCACAATAGAGGTGACCACCAGAGAATGATTGCATCCTAAACAGGAATGAGTATATTTGGTTCACAGTCAACATGCTTTTGGTTCACAACCCATGCTTACCTTGCTTGTGCAGTTCACCAGTGTTTGTGTGCCTTGGGAAACTGTTAGTAAGTGGATATTGAATTCTTCACTGATATTCATTTTCAGAAATTGCTTCAATTTACGAGCAGCACGATTTAGAAAAGCAGCTTCCTAAGAAAAGAATCCAAAAGGGCTGTGATAAGAAATTTAGTTTCTTAATTAATATAAAGCTAGAGCCCTGTCTCTTAGTAAAACCCCACCTCCACCCCAGCTTTCACTTCTGGTTAATCACATGACTGACGAGTAACAGAATGAAACTGCTTGGCTCTGAGGAGACAGAGAACATGAAGTGCCTAGACTCTGGTTTAATGATTATCTGGCTTTGAAATAGCCGTTTCTCCAATGTGTACATGTGGCTTTATCATTTATGGGTGAACACATTACAAGGCTATATACTTTTAACAGGGTAACCAAAGAAGAAGGCTGCTGGAAACATTAGTGAGGAAAGGTATGTGTGGTTTCTCTTGCTACGATTTTTGAAAATTAGAGTTCTGGAAGAATAGGTGATAGTAAAATAAAAAAAAAATGAAGAGCCATGTAACCTAAGACATAGGCTTTTTAGATAAATTAGTTAATAAGTTAATACATAAAAAGAATTTATGGTTTTGTGATACTGTGGTGTTAATAGCTCCATGAGTTGTAGAAAGACTATTAAGGAACATCTCTGTTTCTTTAGGGGGAAACTACAAATTTTTGAAGTTATTTTTTCATTGTAACTGACTAACTAGAGCTTATTTGGGCATAAACTTTAGCAAATCTAAACAAAAAAAATTTCAAACTGTCTAAAACTAAATGGTGTGTGTGTGTGTGTGTGTGTGTGTGTGTGTGTGTGTGTGTGTGTGTGTGTGTACATGTTCAATCATTTAGCAAGATCTTTCCTTCATAAGATTTTTTTTCAGGGAGAGACATTTGTGTCTTTATATTTTTAGTATTTTCAAGGTGAAAAACAGGAAAGTAGAAGAGCAAATTATTATCTACTTTTTAATCTATTGAGGCCAGGATGTTTGTAAAATTAACATATAATAGACCACAGTATAATATAATAGATGAATGATAATCCTGTCATTAAGATAAAAAGATTATGGCATTAATTTAATTATCTAACAAGTCTGTATAAAATCAATCTCATATGGCAAATTCCAAATTATTATTACCTTTGTATCATCACATGGATGTTTTTTAAAAAAGTTTGGTTCATTATTTGGGCAATTGTTTCCAGTTCCTGTCATTTTGTCCTGTAATAAATAATATAAAACAATATGGTTAATGCTGAGGATGTCTCTAACATATAGTTATAAAAGAACATTTTAATATCTGGTATACATATGAACACTTTAAGGAAAGTAAATTTGCCTAGCTCCACTTACTAGGCATCAAGAATAGTTTTCTTTACATGAAAAATAAGGAAATATGTACAGTATCACCTCAAATAAAATTCAGACTCTGTTAAGAACTAGTTGGACTAACTCTGTCCAACAAACTACCCATTCCAGGCGATCATACTTCTTGAAGACTTCACACAGTCTTAGTCTGTTTGATATTGTGAGAGCCATAAGTAGAGCAAGGGCCAGATTAGTAAAGGGCTTGTAATGTTCACCTGCCACTCAAGAAAGTGTGTGTTGGTCTTATTATTCATACAAAGGATAAGTGGTTTCCTGACTTTAAAATATATTTAGGAAAAGCATGCTTTTGGAGATGTGTCTGTGCCTGCCAACCACATAGTATGTAGTTCATTCTCTAAACATCACAGTTGTAAAGACATATATTTCTCAAAAATATCATCTTATTATAGCTAAAGGTAGTAAAAAAATTGTCTACTAAGTCAGTTTTCTATCAACTTTTATTTAATCCCAAGAATGACATCAAATTGTATATACACTTTTCTTTGGTAAAACATACAAAATCTCATATGTAATATGTCAAATAATTAAATCCTTGGAACATTCTAGCAAATTCATAACAATATTTGAAAATCCTTTTTGGTTAGGCCAATGCTCTGGAAAACTAATAAAATTCAGTTTTGTATGCCTGCAGAAGAGAATGTTGTACAGATTGACTTGTTTGTCACATGTTTGATCAAGAATTAGCAGGGATGCTACTATACCTTTGACATGGGCAAATAAGATGTCAGAGTTGCCTTCTGAAGATATTATTCATGCCTATTGAGAGCAGCTCTGAGTATGAATTTATAGCAAAAGAAAACAGTTCCTATCTCACGGTTTAGCAAGTATCAGCATAATAGATTCTTGTAGGCATTTTGGTTCATTTAAACATTATTCTTGGTTTATTATAATATGGAAAACCACAATAGAAGAGCAAAGACACTGTGAGCTATGGTTGGAATTGTTCCTAGAAAAGGTCTTTGATTTCATTAGGTTGTGCCTTTCAGGTTTTTTTTCTATTACTTATTTAACCCTCTTTGTCTTAATTATTGTTCTGCTGCTGTGAAGACACACCAGGATCAAGGCAACTCATATAAAAAAAGTATTCAACTGGGGGCTTGCTTAAAGTTTTAGAGGTTTTGTCCTTGACCATCATGGAAGGAAGTAGACAACCATAGCACTGAAGTAGTAGCTGACAGCTTTACATCCTGATCCACAAGCAACAGGCAGAGACTAGGCCTGGTATGGTGCTTGAAACTTCAAAGCCCTCCCTCACCTCTCCAACAAAGCCACAGCGGCTAATCCTTCACAAATAGTTCCACTAACCAGGAACTAAACATTCAAGTATATGAGCCAACTGGGGCCATTCTCATGCAAACAATCACATTCCACTCCCTGAGTCCCCATAGGCTGGTAGCCATATCAGAATGTAAAGTGCATTCAGTCCAACTTCAAAATTCCCCATAATCTTTCAGTCTCAAGACTAAAAATTCAAAGTCTCTTTGAGACTTAAGGCAATCCCTTAATTTTAAAACCCTGTAAAAGCAAAAGTCAAAATGCCAGTCACATACTTCCAACATACAGTGGTACAAAATATACATTACCAATCCAAAAGGGAGGTACAGGAATATATTAATGAAACACTGGACCAAAGCAGAATTGACACCTAACAGGGCAAACTCCAAATCCTGTATCCCTCTGCCCAATGTCAAAGGGCTGAATGGATAGCTCGTCACATCGTCCACACCTTCCATCTTTGCTGACTGGAGCACACTTATCTTTCTTGGGCTGGTTCCACACACTGTGTCGCTTCTCTTCTTGGCAAGTATCCCAAGCTGTAGATTCTTCAACATGTTAAGATCCTCCTCATCACAATCCAGGCTTCACCTTCACAGCTTTACACAATGGCCTCCCTGGGCCTCTGTGCAAGGACTCCCTTGCCACATGCCTTGCCTCAACAGCTTTTCTCAACCATGGAGGGAGATTCCATAATCCCTTTCCTGTATTTTTCATGATCTAAAGCCAGAAGAACTACCGCTTGCTGGAGTTGGAATCAGACTCTAAAGTCAGAAGTTCTTCTGCTTGCTAGAGTTGGAACCTGGTTGCTCCTTGAATTATATTTGCATAAGCCTTCCATTGTTCAGGCCAAGGAAATCCTTCAGACCTTTTCCTTTCACAGGTTGCAGGATTAGCTGGGAGGTATCTTGCCCAGAGGTTACTGCTCCCTTTATTCCATTCAGCATCAGGCCTTTAAGCTTCTCATCTGCTTGAGTGCCAATACAAAATTTCTTGTCTCGAAAAACCAAAAAAAAAAAAAAAAAAAAAATTTCTTGGTTCCCTTTTTCTCTTTAAGCTGTACATTTTGTATTTCTCATTGTGCTTCTTGCTCCTCTTCATTGTGGATATGCATGAGTGATCACTAATAACCACTTGGCACAGTTCATACTATGCTGTCTTGAAATCTCCCCTGCCAATGATATTATTACAAAATTCTTCAATTTAGCCTCCGGTGGATTTTTTTGACAAGAGCAGAAAGCATTCATATTCTTTGCAAAAATATCACAAGAAAGGTGTCTAGTGCAGGAGATATTCTTTTCCTCTGAAACTTCTTGAGCAGTGCCTGCCTGCATAGTCCAAATTGCCCTCAGCACTACTATCTTCCATGCTTGTACTAAGATGGCCCATCAAACCCCACTTAAACAGTCAACTGACTTCTCTTGTCCAAAGTGCCAACGTCATCCATATTCTTCCAAACAACAGCATGGTCAGGCCTGTTTCACCTTTATTTGCGAACACTAATAATAGGACATACCTTCTATATCAGTTTTAAGTATATTTTTAATTATTTTGCTTTATGTGTGTTTTTCTACAAAATACTATATATGATTACTTAATGAGGCACTAATTTCCAGTTTATATTTTAGTCTTCATTTTCCCTTGAAAATCCAAAGAGCTCACCATTTTTCCAATTTTCATTTCTCTGGTATTATATTAATTTTGTCATCTTTTATGTTAGTTTCTTAAAGAATGCTAAGAAGAAAAATGTGAGCATTTTCTTGTTGTTCGAATCTTAGAGTGTCCTTCAATAAAAATCCCAGAGCCAGATATCAGAGTGAAAGCTGAAAGATCAGAGAAGCAGAACAGCCAGCCACTAGTTCTTACCTTTATGAAATGCTCAGTCTAAAGAGAGTGAGTTCCTGTTTCCTCACACCTTATATACCTTTCTCTGCCCTGACATATTACTTCCTGGAATTAAAGCCATGTGTGCTTCCCAAGCAAAGGCATGAGATCTCAAGTGCTGGGATTAAAGGTGTGTGCCACCACTGCCTGACGTCTATGTGTAATCTAGTGGCTGTCCTCTGATCCTCAGGCAACTTTATTAGGGTACACAATATATCACTACATTTTCTACTGCTTTTATGAGTAATCTATTATTTATTTTGTGTGTGCAGATGAGAGAGTGCAGGTGTGTGCTTACAATAGCACATGTGTGGAAGATAGAGGACAACGCCAGAGAGTTCTTTCCTATCACCTTGTGAGACCCAGGGATTGAACTCATGTCTGTAGGCCTACACATAAATACCTTCACCACTAAGTCATCTCATTGGCCCTAATATTTTTATTTAAATTCTTCCTTTTACTGTGCTTATGTATTTTGTTCATTTCTTCATTTTTGCTGGAGTCAATAAATCGTACTTCTGACTTTCTAAGTGGAGGGCAAAGTTGATTATTTTATTTTTCAGCTAATACTTAGCAGTGCTTCCCTCCTCATGAGAGAATGGGTCCACTTCCCATGGTTGCTCTAGCAAATTATCAGAAACATGTTGGTTCAAAAAAAAATGTATTCTGTTACATTCCTAGAGATCAGATTTAAAATCAAAGTATTGGCTGAAGGTTCTAAGTGAAGATCCATAATCTGGCTCTTCTATCTACTGCTGGCTTCCAGCATCCCCTGTGTTCCTAGCTTATGGCCACATCACCATATTCTATCATCCTGTATGTCTCTGGTCTCTCAGGTTTCTGTCTTATAAGGACATTTGCAATAGCAGAGCTCCTCTGATTTGTGCAGTATAATTTTTTTTATTTTATTTTACAATAAAATTCGGTTCTACATATCAACCACGGATTCCCTTTTTCTCCTCCCTCCTGCCCCTCTCCCCTTCCCCCTACCCCCCCCCTCCCATTCCCACCTCCTCCAGGGCAAAGCCTCCCATGAGGAGAGGACTGAGATCAACCTGGTAGACTCAGTCCAGGCAGGTCCAGTCCCCTCCTCCCAGGCCGAGCCAAGCGATCCTGCATAGGCCCCAGGTTTCAAACAACCAACTCATGCACTGAGCACAGGACCCGGTCCCACTGCCTGGATGCCTCCCAAACAGATCAAGCCAATCAACTGTCTCACCCATTCAGAGGGCCTGATCCAGTGGGGACCCCTCAGCCATTGGTTCATAGTTCTTGTGTTTCCATTCGTTTGGCTATTTGTCCCTGTGCTTTATCCAACCTTGGTCTCAACAATTCTCGCTCATATAAACCCTCCTCTTTCTCGCTAATTGGACTCCCAGAGATCCACCCGGGGCCTAGCCGTGGATCTCTGCATCCAGTTCCCTCAGTCTTTGGATGGGGTTTCTAGAACGACAATTAGGGTGTTTGGCCATCCCATCACCAGAGTAGGTCAGTTCGGCCTGTCTCTCTACCATTGCCAACAGTCTGTTGTGGGGGTATCTTTGTGGATTTCTGTGGGCCTCTCTAGCACTTTGCTTCTTCCTATTCTCATGTGGTCTTCATTTACCATGGTCTCCTATTCCTTGTTCTCCCTCTCTGTTCTTGATCCAGCTGGGATATCCTGCTCCCCCAAG